TTTTGATACTCCGTATTCAAATTTTCTTCATCGGCATGGGTAGCTCAGTTAGTTGTGTTGTGGGAAAGTTGAAAGAATGGCTAAGGATTCGACACAGCAATCATGTGGAGGTTACAGCTCCTGCGTGCTGGGTTGGACTTCTGATACGCACGAGTATAAGGACAAGAGAAATAATTTCACGTGGGCTTTCAAAATTGAAATGGGTTCATCAAATCATTATTTTTAAGTTTTAAGTGAAAATAGAGAATTATGTAGTTTAGCAAATGAAATACGGAGTAAGTAAAGTATGGGAATAATGAAAGAGTTATTTTCGAACAATTTACTAAAATGAGACTTATTTACTACAAGTATGCTAAAAGTATATGTAAGCAAAATGTAAATTATTGTGACTGAGTTACTATAGATTCCTACACTTAAGAAATCACATTTTTGTAAATAATGTTTATCTTAACCATTAACCATAAACATTTACATTTATTTTTTTGCAAATGTGTTTAGGCTGAATTGTTTGTGCCTAAAGTGAATATTGGATATCACTTTATATAAACTAGTTCCCGTTCATCAAAAGATTAATCCAAATGGGCCCTTTAAATAAGTGTACAATTTTGATCGATAATCCAGGAAGGAATAGCAGTGGGGCGAAGTTTTGCGATGTTCAAGAACTATCACATAGATGGAAACAAAGAGATGATAGCCTTTGGGGTCATGAACATTGCTGGCTCCTGCACTTCTTGCTACTTGACCACAGGTACATTTATATACTCCGTACTAAGATTATTCCATCTATTCTTTTTTGTTCGTCTTAATTAGATTGTCAATACCAAATTTGGTAAAGTTTGTGTGATTCTAATTCATTCTTATTTTATTTTCACTTTATTAATTCAATATCAATAACGTAAACTCACTTTTCTTAATAATCATACAACTCCTCTTCTATCAATGTTAGGACTTAGGGAATGGAGACAATAATAATAAGGGAAAATCGCACATTTGACTCCCCAATTATCCACCATATTGAAATCTCAAACCCGTGTTTCAGGTTTTCTAAATTTCACCCCCGAGTTGTCCGAATAATTATAAATGTCACCCCTGCCGTTATAATTATTCGAACAACTCGGGGGTGAAATTTATAATTATTCGAACAACTCGGGGGTGAAATTTATAACGGCAGGGGTGACATTTATAATTATTCAGACAACTCGGGGGTGAAATTTAGAAAACCTGAAACACGGATTTGAGATTTCAATATGGTGGATAATTGAGGGATCAAATGTGCGATTTTCCCTAATAATAATGCAATAATAGTAAGAGGTATCATTACTGTTATTGTCACTATTTTCATTACTACTCCTTATTATTTTAAAAGTCATAATGATATGAGTAAAATAGTATGGAGTAATATAATATTGTAATAATAATAACACTAAAAAAGATATTTATAATAAAATAATAATAGTAATAGTTTAATAATTAAAATGATAGCAAATGTGATCACAAGAACACTATATAAAATTACCTAATCTTAACAACTGGAAATAGTTTAACTTAAAAGCTTATACATTTGTCTTTATTTTTCATTTGACATGGTATCAGCTAGCTAACTGTAAACACTAAATCGTCAAGTGCCATTTTTCAACTGCTAATAATATTAACTAATCAGAAATTCAGAACAACTAACAGAAAGTATTATCACTTAAAAAATTAAAAATTGATAGTGTTTGCTAAAAAAGTACGTTTTGTATGGTAGAGAGAGTAAAAAACAATTTAAATTACCCTTCTACCTGTTTCTAACTTTTTGGCTTTAAAGCGTTTAATTTAAGTAAAAATTATCACTTGAAAACGTTAATTTTAGCCCTTTTAAACAAAAAAGTTGAAGCTTTTTTTTTAAAGAAATTTTATCAATCCAGGACCTGAAAGATGAAATGTATCGGTATAGGACTCGAATGATGGAAAACTATCAATCTAGGACCCGAATGATTGAAAACTATCAATTTAGGATCTAAGTTTTCATAAATTTTATTATTATTTTTATTTTAGAAAATTTAAATAATATTTAATTTTATTAAACTAATAAACTTTTGTGAAGAAAATTTCACCAAATACTAGCAATGGAATTAATAAAAAATTAAATAAATCAAAACCTATGAAATGTTAAGTCCTAGATTGATAGTTTTTCATCTTTCGAGTCCTGTACTGATACATTTCATCTTTCAGGTCCCAGATTGATAATTCATCTATCTTTCAGGTCCCAAATTGATAAAAATCATTTTTTAAAGTTTGTAATTGGAATTGTGGAGGTGCTATGACACCTAGGGCTATTGGCTACATGGGTTACTTCATTTAATTAACTATAGTATGCATTCTATCAGGGCCATTTTCCAGAACAGCAGTGAATTTCAATGCAGGGTGCAAGACATCAGTCTCAAACATAGTAATGGCCATCGCAGTGATGATCACACTCCTATTCCTCACGCCACTCTTCCACTACACACCTCTAGTGGTGCTTTCCTCCATAATCATGACAGCCATGCTTGGTCTCATTGACTATGAAGCTGCCATTCATCTATGGAAGCTTGACAAATTCGACTTCCTCGTTTGCATCAGTGCTTACATTGGTGTCGTCTTCGGAAGCATACAAATCGGCCTCATTGTCGCGGTATGTCAAATATATCTATCATGCATTCATGGATGTTTCTCTATTATTTTGAGTTTTTAGCATGTGCAATATCAGAGAAGGTTATCATCATCATCATTACCTACGGTGGGGTAGGGGGTTGTAAGTATGAAGTCTGATCCATGTACTAAAGCACAGAGAGACTGTTTACGAGTGATTCATAGTGAAAATCGCTCAAAATTACATGGCCTGACTACTCATTTACAAATAAGCGCAAACAATTTAATGAGTCATTTTGCTTTATTTCATCATATTCCAAGCCCTTTTGTAATATAGGAGAAGGTCATGAACATAATTTTACATTGTTGTACCTCAAAACCTAGACTATTAGATGATGGAAGTGTTTACCTCTTGCATAATAGTTGAATGTGGTTCAACAAAAATGAGGATATTTTGACATATAAGATATAACCCTACCTAATCAGTACCTATGTCAGGTAAATACACTTTAAGAGTATTAGTTTTCCTATCAACATACTGAAGTATATGTGCCTTTGATATACCATAATATAGGTGGCATTGTCTCTTCTAAGGGTATTACTATTTGTTGCAAGGCCTAAGACTATGATCTTAGGTAATATTCCTAATTCCAACACTTACAGAAGTGTTGATCAGTACTCAAAAGCAGCTAGTGTGCCTGGGATTGTCATTCTTCACATTGGTGGCCCCATTTACTTCGCCAATGCGGGTTATTTGAGAGAAAGGTACATGAATCATTATCATAATTTAAAGTGATCTGAAATGGTTAGCTAATTATCATCAGCATCAACATAAGATTTTCCGATAACAGGGTTTCATGTTTGATTAGGGTGGACCTGGATCGGGAATGGTCCTCTTTTTCCCAGAAACCAAATGGAACTCTTTCTGATTTTTCTATATTTAAAAATAGTCTAAAGAACCAGAACCGGACCTGAATGAACCCAATAACGGGAAACGGTACACAGTTAAGGTTCTGATTTCTCTTAATAATGTGACCCGGATTTGGCTACTAGGGACTGGGATCGGAACAGGAACAAGTCCACCCTAATTGATTACAATTGCCACTAACTTAGAATGATTAGAATTTAGATCTGAATGGTTTGGTGGGGTTTTAGAATATCAAGATGGATAGATGAAGAGGAAGAGAAGAGAAAAAGTATGGGCGGAGCTGAGCTCCAATATGTTATCCTGGATATGACTGGTTAGAATGTTTTATCAATTTCCTTCCATTCAGATTGCATAAAGACATTTTATACTAATGTTGTTGGAGTCAAACCACAGCGGTTGGAAACATTGATACAAGTGGGATTACCATGCTTGATGAAGTGAAGAAGAATTTAGATATGAGAGATCTCAAGGTAAATATCAATACCCAAACCATATCCCCATCACACCAAATAAAAACATGTTTCATGACAAAAAATATGTTCGAATCTCATGACCAGGTTACCAACCAGCCACTTAGGGACCAAACCTAAGAAGTAAGAATGACAGACTACCATTACGGACCCCATGACACAAACAAGCTCAAGCATATTCGACCAAAGCCTGAACTACTCCCACCCCATGGCACGGCCAACCTTCGATATTTACTGCATTTATATGATAATTTTGTTTTTGTGGTGATTTAGCTTGTACTAGCAAACCCCGGTGGGGAGGTTATGAAGAAGCTTGACAAGTCAAAGTTGATAGAGTCAATTGGAAAGGAGTGGATATATCTAACAGTGGCAGAAGCAGTCAACACATGCAATTACATTCTCCACAACTGCAGGCCCAAGGCCAGCATTGCAGCACCTGAGGTTGCAGCATCTGATGACAATGTATAATAATCAGATATAGGGTTAATAATAGTATCTGCAGACAGCTATAACAAGCATTTTGATTACCTTCCTCCCTGTTGTAAAAAGAATGAGGTTCCTACAATCTTCTCAATAAGTGAAATGCAATGGAATCGTTAAGTTTGACGGAGGCTTTGAGTGGTGTAGTCTATAACTCTATATTTTGAAATATATTTGCAATTTTTATTTAAATAATTGACGGAACAACATTTTAATCACCCTTCATTCTTTCCTTAAAAAATTACATTTATCAAGATGCTAGCAACCCATTTTCTAAAGGTGGTTTAGCTGGTTTTTTTGAATGAAAACATTTGGCAAGTCGAAACCTACGTACATTTTATGATTATTCTGTGTAATCTGATAATAAGCCAATACTTGTAACCAAACAGAACCTAAACCCTACAAAGTCTCCCAGTCTATAACCCGCAATCCAAAAAAAACACCAAGGAAAGTGAATCAGATTTTTTTTATCAACCAGAACTAATAATTATTCATTCCAAGATTAAAAACTCAAGCAATTCATTGTTCCCTAAAAACTGCGATACAAATCAGACGATGCTTGCAATACATGAGAGATCATACTTCTACAAAATTAAGCTTACAATTGAAATTCCCTAAACCGCTGATCAAGGTGGTTTGAGAAGCTGTTCTCTTCCCATTTCTACCATTTAGCTATACTCAAGCATCATCACCAGGATCTTGTGTACATTGGTCAATTGGACTCCAGTTCCTTGGAGGTCATCAACCACATAACAAGTTCATGGCTGCAAGTTCATTGACCATGTTTACTTGAATAGACGAGGAATAAGTTCATGAGCACTTACATCCAAAGTGACTGGATCCCTGGAGAAAATAAGATTGACATTATTTCATTGTCTAGACTGACATTATTAAATCCTAAACCCTGCATGGTCTAGATTGACATTAGTTTTTCAATGTGTTATTTCATTGTGCAACTGTCTTGATTTAAATTTAGGCTTGTGTGTCTTTTTTGTCCCGGTAAATATAGGATTTTTGTTCTGGGTCTTTGTAAAAACATCAATTTGCTATTTCATCCACGTAAGTTATGATGTTCCCTTTTTAGCCCCTCTGCCAACCTTGTTGCAAAAAAACAAGCATGGCTCACACTACTCTCTAGACTTGCTTTTTTTAATAATCTTTTAAAATAGAAAAGCTAAGGGCCTGTTTATTTACAGAGATATTTTCCAGTTCTCTTTTCTGTTTTCATTTCCCAGTTTTTCTATCTCATATTTTCTGTTTTCATTTTTAAGTTTTCCAATTTCAAATCTGAGAACATGTTCACCATTTTTTCAACGGATTCTGTGACCGAAGACCAAAAGTACGGTCCCAATCCGGAACTGAACCTAATACAACCCAAGTAGAGTACCAGGTCCCACAAATAGGAAAGTTGGGACCGAAACCGGCCAGTCCCAGTCAATCCTAACGGTTAGTTTAACTAATTCTTTTCTCTTTTCCCTATTGGTTGACAACTCAACAGTCAACGGTTCTTTTAAAACTCTTCACTTTAAAAAATGATTTCAAAAATCCAAGACCGAACCATAGGGTCATTGACCGGCCCGGACAGGGACCGCCACATCGTTGATGGTACGAGTCCGAGACCGGTCGGTTGTCGATCGGACCAAACAAAGACTGCCGGGTCAGTGGCGGGACAGGACGGGGATCGTCGGGTCGTTGACCGGACATGACATGACCGTCAGGTCATTAATCGGACCGCACGAGGACTGCCGGGTTGTTGGTCGGACCGGACGGGAACCGTCAAGTCGTTGACTGGACCAGATCGGATTGGGATTGCCCGGCCGTCGACCGGACCGAACAAGTATCGCTTGGTCGTGGATCGAATCGGCCGGGGACCGCCGGATCATCGACCGGACCGGACGGGGACCATCGGGTTGACGACCGAACCTTATCGGGACTACTTAGCTGTCGACCGGACCGGAAAAGGACCACCAAGTCGTTGACTGGACCACGTCACCGGATCGTTGACCGGACTAGAAAGGGATCATCGGGTCGTTGATCAGAACGAACTAGAACTGACACCGGAGCAGGACCGGATCCACCACTAGGCGTAAGTATGCAAATTCATTATAGCAGCACTGCACGATCCGCGTTTTTTAAAATTGGAAAACAAGTAAAACTCACTTCTCCAATTCATGAAGGAAAACATAGACATCTCATTTTTTTGATTTGGAAAACGATTCGGTAAACACGTTTTTATGTTTTCCTTTATCCAATTTTCCAGCAAATCTTTTTGGTAAACACATTTTCTGTTTTCCTTTTTCCAGTCTTCCAGTTTTATGGAAAACCGGAAAATATCTCTATTAGTAAACAAGCTCTTAATATGTTATTTCAAGAAAGAGTTAAATTGAGAGTGAAAATGGTAACTTTCGGAGTTTCGGTTAGCCCTAACTCTCTTAGTTATTGGTAGAGTTACAGAGAGTTGATGTGAAAAGCGTAGACTCAAGTTCTGAGAGCCACATTAGAGTTTTTCTTTAGGTAGGGGTTAAAAAGAAAACAACGTGAATTACCCGGATATGGCAGTATTTCTACGGGAACCGAAAGCAAAGAGATATTTTGCTGGACAAAAAAAATTGTTTAAACTTATTTTGTTCAGCGACCAAGCCATACGCATATTATTCTTGGAGAGAGTATTATTGGAGTAGTCTATAAAGGGCATCCCAGTGCACGAAGGCACCCCCGCAAGGCGAGGGTCCGGGGAAGAGTCCCACCACAAGGGTGTATAAGGGGCAAGCCTTACCCTGTCAAGTTTTTTGACAAGAGGCTGCTCCCAAGATTTGAACCGGGACCTCTCAGTGACACAACAACACCTTAACCTGTGCACCAAGGCTTCCCTTCATCGGAGTAGTGAAGTAGTCTACATAGATTTAAAAACAAACAGAGAAGGGTAGAAACCCTGCAGAAGGTTTTTCTATGATATTATTATCAGAGTAGGCTACATAGATTTAAAAAAAAAAACAGAGAAGGGTAGAAAACCTGCACAAGGGTTTTCCATCCTCAGTTGAACTGGGAATAAACCAGAGCTTGCGTACAAAAGGTGATTCGAATTGAATGAAGAATCCATCACTTTGACCATGCTTCCACTTCCTTGATCCTTGACCCTTCCACACCTACAGTTTGTTCAAGAGTCAAGACATATCTATAACGGATTGATGTAATTACAAGATTTACAACTTATATTTAGGTAAAGTGGAAATGTATGAAGTTTTTAAAGACAACCTGTGGGTAAGATATAATATTCTTGGATGTAACTAAGCATGCTGCTTGTGACAAAGATTCTTCAGCATATTGTCTGAGGAAAGAACAACAGTTGCTGTGAGTTTGAGGAGACTCAAAAGCCTGCAGCATTTAAGGGAAAACAGCCCAATCATATGACGTATTTAAGGAAAACACCGTATAACTTTAACAACAGTTGGACCTGGTGACTTGAAACGTCATTTCAGAAGAACTCTTACCTTGTCAATATTCACAGCAGGAGCACATTTCTCAGTGTCTGTTTTCTCCTTGTCAATAAGGAAATAAACTCTAGTATCCACTTTAGAAGTTTCATGCCATGATTTTACTGCAGTTTCCATGTTTTGAACAAGAAAAGAGAATATACCATTACTGGTCTCATCTTCACATTTACCTGACTGAAAAAATAAATAAATCAATCAATAATCGAATAAATTAATAATTACTCTAATTGAATAAATAAATAAATAAATGAAAAAAACTAACGCCTTAATTTAAAGTCCCTGCAAATGAACTACTTATAATTGAGTGACTTTAACCTCATTAGAAGAAAGAGAAAGTAAATCCTTACCAGTTCAGATTTCAAAGTATCCAAATGTTTTGACATGTTGACATTAGATCTCATGTACTCCACTTCTTCTGATCTCTTTTTTACTTTTGCTAATTGGTTAAGTGACTTGATTTTCTTTGATACCTCCAAACTTTGGGGGTTGTGCTTTAATGCGATCTTGAAAGCATTCAGTGCCTATGCTATGCACACCAGAAACATCAGCATCAAACACATGGCTTTGTTAGAATAAACACTAAGCGTCTGTTTGGATGGAGAACTTTAGGGGGGAGGGCTTAAATTCAAGGCGGCTAAAATGATTTACGATTGTTCAATAAAAAATATATACCAAGATATAGGCTAAGCCCAACTCAAATATATTACAAAACATTTCCCTCCACAACCCTGCATCCAAATGGGCCCTAAGAGATGGGGGGGTTTCAAACACACCTCATCATATCGCTCCATAGCCTCCAGTATGCATCCTTTCCTGAAATAACCCTGTGGCACAAGTGGTTCCATTTTACACACGGCAAAAGTTTGTGAATATAGGGACATGTCGAGTATATGCATCCACAAATAGAAACAAATATAATGTAGGACCATACCTTCTCCCAGTCAGGCTTCAAGCTGATTGTCATCTCTGCATCAGCAAGTGCTTTGTTGAGTTTAACCAGATGAAGAAATGCTGCAGCACGATTGCTGGAAAAGACACCGATAAAAAGTATTGAAGGTTGAAGAACAACTGTAGATCTAAGGTGGTGTTTGTTTTAGCTTTTTGAAATTGTTTCTGCCAATTCTCTTATTTTCTGTACAGAAGATTCAAGAATACTATTTCAGGCAGCATAAGTTGCAAGACTAATTTTAAGGTGTTTTGGCAAAATTCCTAGGCGAGATTCCAAGAACGTGGAGGTGTATAATTGTTTTGTTCCAAATTGATAAGTAATAACACAGCGATAAGCCAACTTTTCTTCCTCTGTTCCATAACATCAGCACTACTTTCTTTTACCAGAACAGAATCAATCTCAAATACTCCTACACTAATTTGTTTATGATTCATATCACGGAGGAGTTGAGAGAATTAGAAGGATTATGCATGACATTATTAAAAGGGTGTTTTTCTAATGTGTGCACATGATAAGAAGCAGCCAATGAATATTTCATGCATAATTTTTTAAATTATTATCATGAGTGGTGATAAAAGTAAATTTAAGTCCTAACTGCAAAAAAAATCCCATTTGTTTTTACTAGGGTGGGCGAAAAAACGAAAAGGCATGGAACTGGACCGTAATGGTACCAAACCGATTTATGTATTCTCAAACGGGATGATATTTTGGCCGTACCGATGCCATATTGTTTCAAATTGCACGTTCCATGATAGGTTACGGTAGTATCAAGAATTGTTACGGACCATGCTCACCCTTATTTTTTCTTTAAAATATCTAATTCTTTATCAAAACTTTTAAATGAAGCAGACCAATTGTTTTTTATAACCTGCTCATTGCCACACATTAGATAAACCTATATTATGATTGCAAGTTTGCAGCTATCCAACCGCTGTGCATACTTTTTCAGCTTCTAAAGGGAAATGCAAAGCAAAAGCAATGCATAGACAGAGAAGAAAAAGAAATTGCTTGTGAAGACGTAGATTACATCAAACAGAAAAGAAAACAACTTCTCCTTATGAATAAATTTTTCTAATTTCCTAATATTTTCAATAAAGAACTAAAATGAATGTTTTGCATCCTTTGCTTTCAATAAACACCCCCATTTCTCTACCGGTTCTCTCCCACCATACATCTGATAATCAGTAATAACGATAATCTTCTTGGATATTATCTGGTAAATTCACATCGGAAAAAAAGAAATTGTAGAACAAAGACAGATTCCACTAAAAAACCTAACATTGTAAAAGACGAGATCTTGGGTAGCCAGCATATGAACACATAAATCATAATTGTACTATACTACTTATATTGTCTAAAAACATTCACTGTATCAATAATGTCGAAGTACCTCTGTACCTGTAAAGAGTTGGGTTTGATGGGTCTTGCTTCATGGCTTGAGTATAGAGAGCGGCAGCTTTGAGATAGTTCCCGGTTTTGAAGAACTCGTTGCCTTTATCTTTTAGCGATGTTTCGGTTTTGGCATCTGAATCTCCCATTGTTGTCTTCTCTTTCAAAAATTTGCTCCAATTCGGGTAGCAAAGATTACTGATATCTTAGGGTTTCCCAAAAGCCATATATGCTTCTAAAAAAAACTTATTCTGAATAAATTAAAGTATTAGAATATTTCTGCACTTTTACTCAAACACTCCAAACCCCCATAGTTCTCGTCCAAACGGGGCTTTTGATATGAATTATATGAAGTATACTTTTCTCAAACAAAAGCTTTTGCTTTTGTTTGTGCTTCTTAAAATGATTTATTTAAAAGATTATTGAAAAAGTGTTTTGTAGTAAAAGTAGATAGTGTTTGTAAATAAAAGTGGTTTTAATCAAAAGGTAAACGTTGAAGTGTTTGATAAGAAAAATGATTTTTGGTGAAATATTTTGTTAAAGTACAAGAATGCCCTTGCATACATAAAATATTACTCCCTCATCTCATTTAAATCTTTACTCTTTTCTTTTTGGATCGTTTCATTTACTTCTTTGTGTTTGCTTTTTATGAAATCCCTTTAAATTAAATGTTCTAACTATCTTCACTACTCACTCACTTTTTACATTTGAGTGGATAACATTAATTCTCCCCAAAAGTCAAAGACTCAAAGGGCATGCATGATATTTGTTCTTATATTAATTTAGCTCCTAAAATATTGTGCCAAAAGTAAACGTCAAGTTATATTCGGGACTGAGGGAGTACTAAAAAGCCTAAGGCACAAAACATTGAGATGCAATTTCAAGCATGAACAAAGAAGAGAGAAAGAGAGTAGAAGTTAGCAATAGATGCTTCTCGTGCTTCTTGATATGGTCGGTGCTTGAGAGGCCATTTGCAATTGATGATTGTGACCAAAGTTTTTCTTAAAAATCGTGGCACATATGTTACAAACTCCTTACAATGACTTCATATTATCCGGGGTTTGGAAAGAAACTGAAGGATCAATAAAATCGGGAATGGTGAAGACGTAAATGTTGAAGTTGTTGGTACCATACGTTTAGTATTGGAGGGTGTCTCGAGCATTACTCAGAATTTAGCATCTGTACCCAAGTTAAACAGTTATAGTTATGTATTAACTTTTAGTGATGGTAGAGTGACTATATGTAAAATTTCTGATGTTTTTTGTTATAGTTACTTAGAAGACAACCTTTATAAACTATACTTGGATGATACTTTTTCAAAATCATCAGTGTTGTCATCTCTACCATATTATAAGAGGGAATTTTGTTAGGGGTTTAACGGTCATAAAAAAAATGTTTGTATCTCTTCATGTATGATGTGATTATACTTTATATTTATTTTGTTGTACTATGTTAATCTATCCCAGCTTAGGTTACTAAAGGAGGTAATGGAGGGTTCAATGTCCCGTATACTTACGGAGCAAATAAATAGGGTCTTTTATTACCTCGATGAAACCTATGGCAGGGACATGTCATCAGGTCCGCGGGAAGATGATCGCCAGCTCTACTCACGTCCTTCTTCCCTTTCATCTTCTTCGTATGGTTTAAGGTATTATCTTCATTTTTAAATTAAAGATAATGATTAGTGGATTGATAACCGGTGGTAAACTTTGGTTCTTTTGATCTCCTAAGCAGCGCAGTTTGTGGCAATCGAAGAGGCTCGACCTTCAATCGCCCCCTGTTTCCCTTAGAAACTTGTTTTCATCGCGTGACAGGGGTTTCGGGTTCTCTTTCGCTGCACAACACCCTTTGCCGGGTAAGCCTCCATATAATGTTTAGGTTTGAATGTCTTCGTTAACTGATTGGTAGATTAAGATTGAAAAAGTTAGTAAGCATATGGGTGCGTTTAAGTTTTAAGGTCATATAACTCCTCTGTGTGATTATCTAATGCGGCCATGCTCCTTTTCAAGTAAATAAGTTTTCTGGACATCATTTTACAAAATCCTTTGTGCATTTAAAAAAATGTCTACACCAGATTGCATATATATATATATATATATATATATATATATATATATATATATATATATATATATATATAGTGCCCCAAGTAATTATCAGATACATCATTACAGTAACTTAGGTACGTTCAAATTAGTTATTGTTCTTCTTATAAATTTTAGAGTTAGTAATCTACTCTTCTTAGGTTTAGCTGTTTTTTGAAGCAATAGTATACCTTTTAATTAAACTTTATTTGCGTATGATCAAGGGCCTTGGTTTATCTCCTAAAGTGTAGAGAAAACTAAATGATTTGTAGAATCATTCTTTTGAAAATGCTAACCTTAATATAATGGCTTACAATGTTAAAGCTTAAAGTAGTAGTCTTTTTTGCTTTCCTTTATACGGAGTATATCAGATTAAACCATACGTAGTAATAATCTACCAAACTAATTGAGACACATGTGACACTCTCAAATATCGATTTGCCAATATAAATGTTTGGATGTTAGCCAATGAATTAGACGGGTATGTTATTGAAAATGAAATGTCATGTTAAGTTAATTTTACATTTTTCGAGTTGTCTAACAAATCCTTATAACTTATTGTTTTCTTGTGTAATCCTTTAGGGTGAAAGTGTTCACAGTTATGAGCTAAGCGTGTTTCGTATGAGAGGCAAAGCTACCATCCTTACCAAAGTTAATCATTGTGTACATATTTTAATAGTTCTGCTTGTGTTTCTCACTTCCTTCCATTGTATTTTGTCTTCCATTGTCCATATATACCTCCCAGTGCAACTATTTGCTTGAATCAAATGAGATGTATTAAGGTTCATAGTTAATTCAGAGGTAAGAAAATGTGTTGTTGATACCTTAAAGATTAAGCAATGTGAGTATGAGACTTCTTGGCAAGCATGTAGTGTTTAATAGCTTTGCTGGTTCACCTTATTTTTTTGCACAAATGTTGATACTAAAAGAGTTTTTTGAGCATGTCCTGAAGCACATCCAAACTTGCTAATTTATACTCCTTGTTCCATGTTTCCCTAGCTGTAAATCAATCACTCAAAGAAGGGGGAGATCAAAACATAGTTACTCATGGTTGACTGAAATAAATCACCAACTAAATAACATGAACCATAAGCCGATAAAATGAAAACACATACAGCAGAAACCAGAAAATGTTTCTTGTGCTGCCTTTCTATGGCATATCTTTCTGCTTTGGATCAATCTTTAGTTGGAATCCAATATTATATAGTCTTATAATAGAAATATAGTTTGTTCCTTACACACAATTAGTGTCAACATATTTTTGAAACCAAGACACAAAAGGGTTAATAAGTCACCATATAATGTTTTTAGCATGTAAATAAAGACTTCACCTTTTTTCCTTTATTTCTTATTCATTTGTAAAAATTCATCTGAGTTTAATGACACCTTCCATTTTGTTAAGTTTTCAGAAAAATGTTTTGACAGGTGAGTGAATTGGATGCGTTCAAAGCGGAAAATTCTGTGAAAGTGAACCCAGATATACCACAAAAACAAGTGAGGTTTCTCACACATAATGGTAATCTCTTGCAAACTCTTTTTGTTTTCTTTTATATTTTCAGAGTACTTGATTCCTGTTTTTGCTTCCAAACTCCCTCAGCTAACTAGAAACGTAGGGTCAGTTACTCAGTCTGGATAAAGGTTTTTGGAGAACTGAGTATACACCTTAACTCACCCTAAAGCATTACACAAGAACACAATAAGTTATAGGGATTTGTTACACAGCTCGAAAAATGTAAAATTAATATAACATGACATTTCATTTTCAATAACATACCCGTCTAATTCATTGGCTAACATCTAAACTTTATATTGGCAAATCGATATTTGAGAGTGCCACATGTCTCAATCAGTTTGATAGATTATTATGTTTTAATCTCATATACTTCTTCCGTCCCATTGGGCTTTGCCAAATTTCCTTTTTTGATTGTCCCAAAGAACTTTGCCACTTTCCTATTAAAGTGGCAGATACATATGTGGTGGTCTATATATTATCTTCATTGGAAAGTGGCCTAACCACACCTTCTTTAGGCTGCCATACCTGTTTGCGTGATATTGACCTTTCTGTTGGAAAATTAAATATATTTCAAATAAATTAATTATTTGGTAACGGATGTTTGTTTAATTCAGCGCATATCCCGGCCATGTAATGTGCGTATTGAGAGGCTGACCAAGTTCTCTTGGTTGAGCACTACTCTCACCACTTTTCAAGGATCCTAAACTGCCAATTATTATTCAATTCATTTTCTATATATAATTGTATTAATAATAATGAGACCCACTAGAGCAAGTAAGAATAGATACGAACTCCTCTGCTTGTAAAACCCATCTTCTGCAAAACTTTATTTTACGAAGGCCTCTACAAAAATGTTTTTATTAAAAAGCTTCTGCTGGATAATGATTATGATTTCCCTCGTAGTTCTGGTTCCGACTCATGGTCGAAGGGCTCGTTATATCCTGGGGGAAGATTTCCGTTCACCGGAAATACTTTCTGAGGACGGCGTTTACGCGTCTCGAGCCACGTTGTTTCTTGTTATTCTCCTTTGCAGGTATGTTTATTATGGACTAGTCACATTACTGGAGTGGACAAGGTGCTGCCATTTGCCGGAGATAGAGGGAGAAGCTCTTCGCCGGAGTTATACGTGTCCGTCGGCTAGAACCGGACAGCCAAGAGCAAGTGACGATGAAGGAATATCCCCAACAATCTCAGAAAGTATCATTGAACGAAGTATGCTCCTGCGATTCCAATCAAATAGGCCGCTGAAATCTTTGTTCACAATGAGGCTGCCAAACTTGGTATTTCTATTAATTACCTTAGTGTTGGCAATTTTATACCTGCATGAATCTGCCTGCATTATTTTATCTCAATTTGTGATTATGTTATGTGTTACCCTATTCACAATAAGCCTTATTTTAATCCCAGTTATTATAATATATGTCATTTTATGTGATAAAAAGACAACTATGAAAAACAACAACCCACTTAAATCAAAATTAAAATTGATTAAAATTAAAAGTGATGTTATTTTTATTGCGGTTGTTTCTCAAAGTTGTAAAATAAGTGATGTGAATGAATGGATGGTAGACACCGGGACTACCAAGCACATTTGTAAAAACAAAAGTGCCTTTACCTCTTATAGTTCT